ACGGTGCTTGGGAAAAAAGCCATATCATACTCTGCCCCCTCGACCTGGAACACACTTCAGCAGGAACTTCAGCTGACCAGTTTGATACCCATCACGGATTTTAAACTCATTTTAAAAAAGCTGGAAGAATCATCTGTGGGTGTTTGCACCTGCTATATCTGACTACTGTATATGGATTTCAATGACTACTTTTTTTACGGTGTTGTATTTGAGTGTTGCCTCTGTGTTTGGTGTCCTGTCTGTCTGTAACTTTGTGTGGTAGTGTTACCACTGACAGGTCTCTCTTGAAAATGAGACCTTGTAGTCTAGATGGAAATAGGGGTCCACGCGCACCCCTCGGAATTTTTTTTGCCACCTGATTTTTCTTAATCCTTAAAGTGTCTACTTTCAGAATCTGCCAGGTGCCAAGCTGAAATAATGTCCGAAAGACTCCATTTTTAACCCTTTATTGCACCTAACCCAAAACCGAAACATTAAAATGTGATGTAGCAAGAGGCATAACCTTTGAAGTAAACAACATACAGAGACAAATGAATACATTTGTCCATACAATTCTGACCCTAGGAATTCAATGGAATGGTTATTTTTGACATTTGACATTTTGACTGTATTTCTGGACAAAAACAGCAAAAAAATGCAAAACATGTGTGTCTGACCAACTACTTTTTTATTTTTCAAACGCATAGAGTGAATATTTGTTGACAATCAGTTTTTTTTCAATCCTCCAAGTGTTGAAATAATGTCCCAAAGGCTAGTTGTAACCCTTTATAGCACCTAACCCAAAAATCGAAATGAAAATATAATGTAGAAGAGGCATAACTTTTGAAGTAGACAACTTACAGAGCGAAATTAATAAATGTTCCTACACAATTTTGATCCTAGTAATTCAATGGGATGGTTATTGTTGACATTTGACAACATTTTGACTGTATTTCTGGACAAAAACAGCAAGAAATGACCAAACATGTGTGTATGACCAACTACCTTTTCAACACATAGGGTGAACATAGTCTGTAACTTTATGTGGTAGTGTTTCCACTGAACAGGTCTCTCTTGAAAATGAGACCTTGTGTCTCAATGAGATTTTACACCTGTATAAATAAAGACTACAAAAAAAAAAATGATGACCTTCACAGTAGACATTTGAACATACAAAATTGCTGATCACCACTTTCCTTGAATTTTGGATGATTTTGTCAACTTTGTAACAACCATGGTGTTCCCGGCCAAAAATGACCGCCATAAAGAAAAGGTATTAGTAACCATCCGGATCAGATAAAACACACACACACACACACTCTAGTGTTCCCCCCCCCTTATCTGCCCAATCCCCCAATGTGAATCACACCTGGCTGGCACACACACACACACACACACACACACCACACACACACACACACACACACACACACACAACACACACACACACAAACAAACAATTTGATACATTTCCCGCTCTTATGTGCCCCTCCCCCCACATGGATCACACCTGGCACACGCAATACATGTTCAGTGTCTATTCTTTGTATATTTACTGCAGTTGTTCATGTATACCAGTAGTCTGATACAATATGTACAGTTTGAAAGGTTGTTAAATTAAATGTGGTGATGATTAATGTTTTTTGTGTTAATGTAATAGCAGCTAAAACAGGACCGGTCAAATTTGACAGCGAACACCAAAGTAAGGGGGGGAAACGAAGACAAGGGTTAAGTGAACCAGCCTTAATCCAATAATTAAGATGAAGTCAGTTTAGGATCAAATACATATTGTTTTTTAACCCTTAAATATTCCTATTTCTTGCGTACACCACCAAGTATCAAGTATAACATTACGTCATTCTGTCACATTATGGTTGTTGTCTCTAAAGCTTGGTAAAAAAACTTGCACATGTGAGTTTTATAAGTCAAACTTTTATCAAGAAAGCAAATTAGCGCATTCCCCAAATAAAGAACGTTGTGCATAGATAGTGTTTATCTTCTTTATTTGGGAGTAGTTCACGTAGTTATTTTCTTATTCTGCAGTGAAGCTTTGGAAAGTATTCACTGTAATTAACTTCTACGAGATACTATGAAGCTATAAACACATTTAATTACAGATAGAAATATAGATAAATACTGGATGGACTGAGTCAGTCTCCTGTAGTCCTCGTCATCCTCCACCAGGTGGCGATGTTTGCTCATGTTATGGATGTTGGAGTTTAGCTGCTGACAGTTATCTGAGGTCATTATGTAACTTGAGATCCCCCATGACTCTCTGCATAGTCACTCTCTGACCTCCTGGTGCACTGTCACTTCCTCTGGAGCTCAGCAGGACTTTCATGTGTCAGAGAGACAGCAAGAAGCCATCTCACACACACACACACACCACACACACACACACACACACACACACACACACACACGCACACACACACAAGTCTCCGGGCTCCGGGCCCAGGCTGCTCTTTGAGCCGAGACCCCCAGACAGCATGCAGAATAACAATCTTCTCTCTGACACCAAACTCTGAATATGTTGCTATTTGCAATCATCCTCTGCACACCTCCCTGAGAAAACCCTGCATCCTTTTCTCACATTGAAGCAGCACCGTGGATAGAGTTATGAAATTTGTTTGCAAGTGCAACCCGGAAATTATCGCAAGGGGTCCCTGGACAAGTAATGGGGTTTCCCTTATTGGATTTTGGTATATTACAGAAAATAAGCTTTTTGGCAAACACACATTTATGTGTTTTGTTCAGCAGGATAATCTTTACATATTAACAACACATGAAGCTTAACTGAAGCGTAAATGCAATCGCAGGAGTATATCGCTATAAAGGAACTTGATCACGGTCGCATGACTTCACGTCACCACCGCTAAGCTAAAGGCGGCTAATGTTTGGCGTCATGACGTTTATTCCTTTTATTTAGTCACTTGTTAGCAACCGTTGTTTTTATGAAACATAGAAGCTTCGGACATTCAACAGTGGACGTATAAAACAAAATGTGAACATATTTGTAGCTTGTGTTAACCAACCTTATTTCAGGTTTCTAACTAAAAACACTTTTTCAAAAACGTTGACTTTGAGACGAGGAAACCAGAAGTGATTAAATGCTGAGTCGTTTCAGGGTTTTAGGACTCATTCCTGCACCACTCGTTAGTCTTTTGCAGTGGCGTTTCTAGGTGTACAAAACTGGGGGGGCAGAAAGAGGTCGGGGGAGAGAGAGAGAGAGAGAGAGAGGGGGGGGACAGAGAGAGGGAGGAGAGAGAGAGAGGGGGGACAAAGAGAGGGGGGGGAGGAGAGAGAGAGGGGGAGTGTCAAATTACATACTGAAGACCACAGGAGCAACACTGTGAGCGCATACATTTACGTACACAGCGTGGGGATGTCATAGTAATGCACCTTCATACGACTCTTTTGACTGAGTTAATGTTGTGATGACTTTCTCTTGCTCTAAGACCGTCCATTTTCCCGCCAGCAGCACAAAGTGGGGTATCCAATGGCTGCTTGAGACCCCCTTTGTTATCACACACATCTTTAAACTTCTTTCGTAACTCATCTACACACATGCAAAGCGTTGTGACTCCTAATCAGGCAGAGAGACACACACACACACACACACACACACACACACACACACACACACACACACACACACACACACACATTCCATGTACATCACTTCAGGGGACATTACATTGACTTACATGCATTTCCTGGAGACTTATCCTAACCTTAACCATAACCAACACATGCCTAACCCTAACCCTTAACCTTACCCTAAACCTAACCCTAACCAAGTCTTCACCCTAAAATGAATGATTCCCCTCATGGGGACCTCCATTATGTCCCCATAAGGGAGGTGAGTCCCCACACGTGACTGTGTAAACAGATTTAGGTCACAACAAGTATAGTAATGCTATAGGCCACACACACACACACACACACACACACACACACACACACACACACACACACACACACACACACACACACACACACAGAAGGGAGTGTTTCCTGCTTGAGATGTCCATCACACCTTTAGGAACTGCGGGTAGAAATGAGCGAATAGCTAAACCTGGCACAAACAATCTCTTCTCTTTAAGATTAATGCATTTTGATACGTGGTCCAATTTAATAAAGACATATATTTAAAATCAAGGTTGCACTCATCCAGCCGGTGCAACTAGAACATCTGCAGCAAAGTCTATGGAGGTGCACACATTGTTTTGCAGAATATTCTATATTTAGCATCATGACAAAGTGTCTTCTTCAAGGATTAATAATAAGATAATAAAAAAGCACAGAGGCCACAAAAAACTCGACTTTGACAACTGCTACACACTTTAACGAGCATTTTTAATAACTTAAAATTGAGATGCCAATCATACAATATCCTCTAAATGATGGTTGCTCACATCCATCCTGGGCAAGTAAAAAACGGCAGCAAAGTGTATGGGTGTGCATACCTTTCATTCATATTGCTTATCGTAAACCCTGCAGAATATGCTCCTTATTTAGCATCATGACACTTCATAATATAATATATTGATGTTGATGCTAAGATACCAAAACATCAGAAAAGTCACGATTAACTCAACTTTGATCCCTACGAGCATTTTGTATCACTCCTGCAAAATCTGCAGCAAAGTATTTTTGTGTCTTCATAAATAATAAACCTAGCCTTTTAAAAAAGCACTAAGGGTTTGGCTCGTTGAAAACTAAAATACCTGATCCTTTCAGTTTGTATCTTCATGGTTAAAGGCACTTGTTGCTTTGAGAACATTTAAGGATCTTGTAATAAAGTCATGCACACATTACGCACTTTTAATCTTAATTGTTTTGTCCTGCTTCTTATATTTCTCTTTATTTTTTGGACTCCAGAATCACAGCCACACCTTTGTTCTCGTCCACGTGCAACATACCTACCTGCACGGAGGATTGCTATAGCAACAGGTTGCCAGTAGCGACGTGGTACCACCACCACCACCACCACATCCCTGCCTGTGTCTGCGGGGATGCGCGGCGCGTCAGGAGCAGCGGAGAGAGAAAACACCAGCAGAGGGTGAGGCTCAGGCAGCAGAACCAGAAACATCACAACTGCGAGGCTCTTTTTTATGTTCTGCTTCTGGCATGCACTGAGGAGCCCTGCGGTTTCTTGCAAAGCTCGTGCGTTGTTGAAAACATACACGTCGACTCGCGCAGGATGGAGAGCTGAAGGAGATCCCCGAGCTTCCCTGATAACAACAGGTTAGTGTTGACACTCACTCGGCCACCTGCAGCTGAGACTCTCTCCGTCCCCTCCACCCGGGACCGTTTGCACCCCGAAAATGTGGGCATTTTACGCACGAGAGAGGAGACACATGAAGTCTTTGGATGCGTTTTGATGCACGTGTTGTGCGGAGAGGAGTCCGGCTGCAGGAGTCTCGTGCACCGGCTCTCTGTCATGATAATCTGCCGGTTTAACACCAGTTTCACACGGGAAATATTCACCTTTTAATACGTTTTATTTAAATGGCGGCTCTTGATTTTGTCCTGAGGCTGCGGGTGTGTCTACCTTTGACAGTATGACAATCAGTTTGAGGATATATGTTCTTACAGCACTCTTCCTTTATTTAAACATGTATTACATGCGTATTGTTGCATGAATGACGGCTTATGTCAATTATTAATGTTTAGGCTATCCCCTTTTCTGATCATGTTCTTGCAATACTTGCATCATAAATAAATGTTTTAGTTATAATCTAAATTATTAAGGCGAGATGCCCCGGGCAAAAAACAGATTCATGTGCACCTGTCCATTTAGACATTTTGACTATTCTGCTTGTGTTTTCGTTTAGACAATAAGAAAACACCTAAAATACACATTGAGGTGTTTATTTTATCTTGTCAAGTTTCTAAATGCACCGAGCATTAGAAACGGTCTCATTTGTGTATTTAAACATAGATTTTACACATGTTATTGTAGGATAACCAATCATCTGAAGTGTCATACATTAGTCAAAGTAATACTCTTGAAAAATGTACAATATTTAACTTTAAAGGCTCAATATTAGTTTTTTTTGAAGCCATGAAGCTTGACTTCCGTACAGTAAAATATTCCTTTACCTTTTGTTCATATATCATTGATTTATGACATATTTATTCCTTAAAACACGGCGGACATTGATTTTTTTTCTTTTCTCATTGACGGCTATTGACGGTGTGTTCTGATGTATGGAGAGATACGAAGAGATATCCAATTTCCTCTTTGGACACCTTTGACTCCTTATAAGTCAACAAAATGAAATTCAGATTCACTTTCCTGATATGTATGCAAATTAAGACTTATTTAATAAGACGGAGGCTCATTTGCATATTTAAACATTACCTTTCAGAAAACTTTGATATTAAACAAAGTACCTTAAAGGTAGGGTAGGTAATTTTGGAGAAACCAGCTCGAGTGCGCTAGAATTTGAAAATACACAGCTGGAAAAAATCTGCCCCTTCCTTCAGACTTCCTTAAAGCCCCTCCTCCAACACACAGTACTACGGCTTCCACAGATAATATTTTTTTATGTATTTATTGTCAAAGCATTTAATGTATTCATTGCTATCGGGATGTTAAGAGCATTCCATGGAATATAACAAAAAGTGTTTCTAAAGTGAATTATATACCCCACCTTTAATATATAAATTATTTGGATTATATACCACATGTACTATTGCTATTAATTATAAAATAAATACAAGTCTACAAAGGTTTTTCTAATTTAAAGTCTTCCTGTTTCAATGTGTTTCTGATTAAAATACAGAGATACACCTTTGTTGATTCCCAGCAGGTACATCTTGTTACCTCTTGTTCAAAAAGAGGTAACCACAAAGCGATATTTAACTGAAAATACTAGGGAAATGTTTACTCAGAATTGTTCTTCCACACTTCTCAGTAAATGAGCTAGTTGATCATTTTAATTCAAAATGAAAATTTGTATAGATGCCATTGCTCCAACTAAGGTAAAGTGACTGGGAAGAAAATATCTCCATGGAGAAAGGCCATGACCGTGAGAGCAGAAAAAAGACAGTGTCGAAAAGCTGAACGTAGGTGGCGAAAAACAAATCTCCAGGTGCACTTTGAAATCTATAAAGAGAGACTTGGCCTTCATAATTTGGAATTGAAAAACGCACGACAATCGTTCTTCTCTGACATCATTACCAAAAACAAAAACAACGCACGTGCCTTGTTTGCTACCGTCGACAGACTGACTAACCCCCCAGTGTCAGTAGCCTCTGAAATTCTATCCACCAGGGCGTGCAATGATTTTGCCTTCTTCACTGACAACATTCAGAAAATCAGACAAGCAGTCAGTGCCTCTGCATCAGGAACAGCAAATGTGTTGTCTCTGTGTCCACTTAACATCAATTCAAACACCATGACACAATTCCATCAGATTAATGATAAAAACCTAGAGGACATTATTCAACTTCTGAAATCCTCCTCCTGCTGCTTTGATATTATTCCAACAGGATTTTTCAAAGATGTTTTGCCTTGCATGGCCTCAAATCTACTTCATATAGTAAACAAATCTCTTCACTCAGGTATTTTTCCACAGGCCCTGAAAACTGCAGTCATTAAACCGCTCTTAAAAAAGAATAATCTAGATGCTTCAGTAATGAACAATTACAGGCCCATATCAAACCTCCCATTTTCTAGGTAAAATCATTGAAAAAGTTGTTTTTTCAACAGTTGAGTAATTTCTTGCATTTAAATAACTGTTTCGATGTGTTCCAGTCAGGCTTTCGTCCAAACCACAGCACTGAGACTGCTCTTGTAAAGGTATTTAATGACATCCACTTAAACACAAACAGTGGCAGAACTTCAGTGTTAGTATTATTAGATCTCAGTGCTGCGTTTGACACTGTTGACCACAGCATATTACTCGACCGACTGGAAAACTGGGTGGGACTTTCAGAAACAGTTCTAAATTGGTTTGAATCCTATTTAAAGGACAGAAACAACTTTGTTTCTATCGGTAAATACACATCTGAGTTGACAAATATGACATGTGGGGTTCCTCAAGGCTCCATCTTGGGGCCTCTTCTCTTTAACATCTACATGCTACCACTGGCTCAGATAATGAAAAACAACAAAATAAGTTACCATAGCTATGCAGATGACACACAAATGTACGTAACAATTTCACCAGGGAGACTATGCTCCAATTCAAACACTGAGTAAGTGCATTGAACAAATCAATGACTGGATGTGTCAGAACTTTCTCCAATTAAACAAAGATAAAACTGAGGTAATGGTTTTTTGGAGCCAAGGCAGAACGTATAAAAGTTAGCGCTGAGCTTCAGTCTGCAATGTTCAAAACAACAGATAAAGCCAGAAATCTAGGTGTAGTCATGGACTCTGACCTGAGTTTCAACAGTCACATTAAAACAGTTACTAAATCAGCCTACTATCACCTAAACAATATATCTAGGATTAAAAGACTAATGTCACAGCAGGATTTGGAAAAACTTGTCCATGCTTTTATCTTCAGTAGACTCGACTACTGCAATGGTGTCTTCACAGGTCTCACTAAAAAATCTATTAGAAAGCTGCCAGCTGATTCAGAACGCCGCTGCTCGAGTCCTCACTGACACTAAGAAAGTGGATTCACATCACTCCTGTTCTGAAGTCTTTACACTGGCTTCCTGTGTGTCAAAGAATAGATTTCAAAATACTGCTGCTGGTTTATAAAGCACTGAATGGTTTAGGCCCAAAATACATTTCTGACCTCCTGCTAAATTATGAACCATCCAGATCTCTCAGGTCTTCAGGGACTGGTCAGCTTTCTGTCCCCAGAGTCAGAACTAAACATGGAGAAGCAGCGTTCAGTTATTATGCTCCAAATATCTGGAACAAACTCCCAGAAACCTGCAGGTCCGCTGCAACTCTGACTACTTTTAAATCCAGGCTGAAGACTTTTCTTTTTGTCGCTGCTTTTAATTGAACTATTCATATCTTACACTGACTGCACTGTAACTTTTATCACTGTAACTTTTATCCATGTATTTTTTCTTTTAATGTTTCTTTTATTAGCTTTTCTTTATAATGACTGATTTTAAAAATGCCATTTTCTTAATGTCTTTCATTTTTTGTAAAGCACTTTGTGTTGCCTTGTGTTGAAAAGTGCTATATAAATAAACTTGCCTTGCCTTGCCTTACTGCAGAACATAAGGACAGAAATGAATACAGAGAATGATTGAAAGTAACAGGAATACATTCTAAAGAGGTATAAAAAGAGCTGAAAAATCTAAAGAAGGAAAAATAGAGACGAGTTTCAACAGCATTTGAAGATTGTAGACTTTAAAGTGACAGAGGTGTGATTGAAAGTTATTCTGCACCAGGCTCATATTATGACATGAATAAGTAATGTGAGTGCACTACATTGATATATTAGTGCAACATAGCCTGTTAACATAATATGATATATTATGAGGTGGAGTATACCTGCAAGGATACATTTGTTAGTCTATCTATGTTCAGGATAATAATCGCCAACTTTTTTCATAATTGAGTACATTTTCAGGGAAAGATATCAGAACATACCATCATTGGCCTCACACGTATACAGATGTCCTTTCTTTGTTATATATCACAGTAAAATAAACGTCTGTCTGTTTGAAACTGACAAAACAAGATATTTAAGGACATCACCTTGGAAGAAGAAAAATGAGATGGACACTTTTCACCTTTTTCTGACATTTACCAAACGTTTAATCTGGAAAGTATGAAAAATAGTTGTTCTCTTCCTCCTTATAGTTGAATAGTATAACATGGTACATATTGTATAATGATATTACTTGGTATAAGTCAAGGTTGTGGTACTTGAGTCGAGTCGGAGTTGCTATTATGGGCCAGAAATCTACATTTAAATTAGCTACATTTGCAATTGTATAGCTTCATTACATCTAGCCAGTTAATTACTATCATTCCTGCATTAACAGAACTGAGCTGTTATTGAGCTGTGTGGGCGGGAGAGCAGAGGAATAGCACTGCAAAGGCTCTATCAGAAACATAACAGAGTATATATAAATATGGTATAACATCGTGTTTGATATAATATGTAGTACAGCAATATGACTTGGTATAAGTCAAGGTTTTAGTACTTTAAGAGGACATACTATGCTCATGTTCAGGGTCATATCAGTATGTAGTGTCTCTACTTTAAAAGAGTCCTCTCCTGCTGATGTTCAGGTGTATATCAGTATGTAGTGTCTCT